CGCGGCGGCGCAGACCGAGGCGTCGCCGCCGGCCGCCGCTGGCGAGCAGGGCGGCTTCGTGGGCTGGATGCGCTCGAAGCTGGAGCGTGAGTTGGCTCGGCCCAGCCCGCAGATGGTGTTGCCGCAGGCTGGCGCCGTCGCCGCCACGCCGGTGCGGCGCCCGCGGCTTGACGCCAACGACAACGAGCTGCCGCCGGCGGCTGACTGGAACGCGCACCTGTTCGATCCGCCGGCCGGGCCCGACGGGTCGCCGCCGAAGCCCCGGCTCGGTGGCGGCGGCGGCGGCGACGACGACGACGCGCCCGGCGATCACTGCCACCTGGAGGAACACAAACCGGGGAGGACGCGTGACGAGGCCTTACGCCGCCGCTCTCCGTTGCCCAAGCTGGAGCGGAGCCCTGTCGCGATCAAGGACGAGGGAATGGAGCGACCCTCGTGTTGGCCGGGCAGCGCGCATGCTGAGCCGGTCTCGCTGCACGTCGCGGTGCAGGGGCGGGGCATGGTGGATTATTGTCCGCGGCGCGTGGAGATGGCCATGGGCGACGCGCCGCGGGCGCAGCCGGCTCCGGCGGCCGCTGCCGTCGTCAGAGACGCGACGCCAGAGCGGCCCGCCCGCCTGGTAGTCACCACCGGCGGCGGGCAGAAGCCGACGCCGCCCCGCGTGGTCACCTTCACCGCCGGCTTCGCCTCGCCGAAGTCGAACCCGGAGACGGCCACCGTCAACGGCACTCAGAAGCCGCAGCCGCGCGGTAGTGGCGGCGGCGGTGGCGGACGTCACGTGCGCGCCGTGCGCGTGAGCTCGGACAACCTACGCGCGGCGACCGGCGTTGGCCTGGCCGCCGGCCCGGTCACGGCCACCCTCGACCTACGGCTGCGCCCGACGCGGCCCTTCGACCGGCCGATTGGCGTGGCTCGAGACGGTGACGTCATTTACGTGGCCGACACAGGCAACAACGTGGTGCGCGCGTTTGCACCGGACGGTGCCGAGCTGGCGCCGGTGGCCGAGTTGCGCCGGCCGTCGGCGCTGGCGCGCCTCAGCGGCGGCCGCCTGGCCGTGCGCTTCGACCACGGCGTGCGCGTGTACTCGGTCATTAGCGGTGCTATGCTGCTGCAGGTGGGGGCGGGCTTGCTGCGCCGGCCGTTCGGCCTGGCCGTCACGGAGCGCGAGCGGCTCGTCACGGTGGACGTGGCCGGCCGGCGGCCGGTGGTGCACGTGTTCGACGCGAGCGCCGGCGGCGGCGGCGTCCTTGTCCACTCGATGGACATGATGGCCGCTGTCAGCCGGCCAGACACGGCCAAGCTGTACTTCGTGGCGGCCACCGAGACCCGCGTGGCCGTCACCGACCTTGGCAACAACGTGGTGTACCTGCTGAACTGGGAGGGCCGTCTGGTGGCCTGTGTCGGCGACGGCGGGTCGCCTGGCACGCGGCTCTCCGACCCCGCCGGCGTCGCGCTGGACGCGGCCGGCAGCCTCCTGGTGGCCGATTCGAAACACCACCGCTTGCTGGTCTTCTCGGCAGATGGCGCGCCGCGCGGCAGCGTCCGTGTCTCTCACGAGCTGAACCGGCCGTCCGGGATCTGGCTGGACGGCCGGAATCTGCTGGTGCTCAACTACTGGGAGAACACGGTGCACCGGTACACCCTCACGTTCGAGGATCAGGAGTAGGTGCAGCGTTGGCATGGCCGCGTTTTCGTTTCTTGACGCCTGAAGATGCATTTGTGTTTTGTCCAAATCTGCAGTATTTTTGTTAGCCAAGTTAATACATTTCCTACCGTTTGTTCGAGTTTGATAGCCCAGCTGGTACGCTAATGTGGGACAAAGATGTGCGCTGACGAGCGGCACGTGTTTCTTGCCATCGGCATCTGCTCCACATTGCTGGCTGAAGGCCGGCACAATGTGTCAGGGTATCTTAAGTTTTGTTCGCCATCACGTGCTGGACCTTTACTGACGTGACCCGCCTCACCTGCCCCGCGGCCGCAGCCACTAACGGCGCCAGCCTGAAGTGGCGCGGCGAATGTGCCTGTTCCTTCCAATTGGGCGTGGTAGAGCGGAACTTCTGCGTTTCACTAACTTTACTCTAAAGCAAGGTGTTTTTTTGGGCGGTCCCTACTTGTCAGCGACCTCGTTCTTATGGCAGCGGTGGCGGGACACTCGCTCGTGATGCCTTAATCTACCGCACTTCTCCCGCGTGAGGGCAAGAACTGCCATCGATCAGTGCAGTGCGTTGATTTGGAGCATTTCGCACCTTAGGCAGATGAGCGTCTTAGGAAGAGGAGGTACCGATATCAAATTGAGGGCGATTATTTCCATGCGTTGCCACATGGTCAATGCGTAGGATTTTCGGAAAGTTGGGGTACCGTGGCGCCGACGCATCCCCCGTCGCTACGCCTATGCCTCACACGACGGGCTTGTTACGGGGGAGGCGCCCCACCAGCAGCGGGGCTGGGGCGTGTGTTAACATTGCGTCATTCCAGATGCGAGAGCCGTGCTGGGACGAGTGGACGGCAAACATCGGACTAGTCCCGGGCGCGTCCGAGCATTGTTCGTTTGATCAATGTAAAGCAGTTGAGGTTTTTTTCTTACGGCGGGAAACGGGGCATTGGTCTTGTATAGCCTGAAACCATCGATTTACGCTAGGTGGATATGCATGTCACAACCGGCAAGGTATCGTTGTGAGACTGTTGCTTACAGTGCGGCAGGTATGTGGGTTACGAACGATCGCAATCCGCAGCGCAGAACCTGTTGGACAATCACTCGCGACGGCGAAAGTAATAATCTCAGAGAACCACTTTGCCGGTGAGAAATGGGTGCTCCTGACGCGGGGAGCGTGATTTGCGTCCTTCCAGGCGTGCGGCGGATGTTCACCTGGGTATTTTACCACATCGTCTGTTTCAGGAAGCTGCGGTTCCGCTTCTGGTCGCAAGATGGCTCTGAACATCCCTGGATGCGGCTGCAAGGCTCAGAACACGTGCCTTCAGTGCGAGCCGTTCTCGGCGGCCGCCTACAAGCCATTCGTCACGCCGTCTGACGGGCCGAGCTACGTGTTCTGTCCACTGTGCCGGCTGGCCTGGCCCGGCTGGGCGGGCGACTCGTGGCGCGCGCACCCACACCACGCCGGCCGGTCGCTGCGCTTCCCCGGCGTGCACATCGTGCCTGACCTGCTGACCGCCGACGAGGAGCAGCAGCTGATGGCCGACATCGACGCCCTGCCCTGGGACGCGTCGCAGAGCGGCCGCCGCAAGCAGAACTTCGGGCCGAAGACGAACTTCAACCGGCGCAAGCTGAAGATGGGCGCGTTCCGCGGCTTCCCTGAGTTCGGCCGCTGGGTGCAGGCGCGGCTGGCGCGCGAGCCGGTGCTGCGTGGCTACCAGACGATCGAGCAGTGCTCTCTGGAGTACCGGCCGCAGGAGGGCGCCTGTATCGCGCCACACATCGACGACTGCTGGGTGTGGGGCGAGCGCGTCGTGACGGTCAGTCTGCTGAAGGACTCCGTGCTCACCATGGTGAAGTACCAGGGCGGCGAGGACCGCTACAACCTGCGCGACCGGCCGCCGCCACGGGCGGCAGGGGTGTCCGACCTGGCCGGCGCCGGCGAGGCGGCAGGAGGCGGCCGACCCGCTAGACTGGTGGCAGCTGGAGCGGCCGCCGACTGTGCGGCTTCCGATGCCCCGCCGCTCGCTGCTCGTTCTCGAGGGCGCCGCGCGCTACGAATGGCTGCACGGTATCCTCCGTGATGACGTCACCGAGCGGCGCGTGTGTCTGGCGCTGCGCGAGTTCACGCCAGCGTTTCTGCCCGGAGGCCAGCACGAAGCGCTCGGGGCTGAAGTCATCGCGCAGGCGCAGAACTTCTGGACCGTGCCGCCGGCCGCCGCCGACGCGGCCGCGTGATGGCGCTGCGAGCGGTGGAGGCAGGCTTAGGCGGCGTCGGAATCACCTGCTAGGCTGTCTAGCGCAGGGTGGGTTGAAAACTGGCTGTTTCGTAGATTTCCGCTGAAGCGGATTAACGTACACTTGGTATTATTTGCAACGTTACGTTCAGCCATCGGAAGTTGTACTTTGGTGATGTTACAGGATGGCAGTCGAATTCTATAGCCCTGATGTGGGCTGAGTTTGTGGTGCAATGGAGGAGTCCGTCAGACATGTGAGGAGCAGGACAGCGTGCTGCTCAGATAGTCGGCTGCACTGGCCGTCGACATTTGATGATATGGCTGCCGTCTCATGCGTTTGCAATGCACGTGACAACAATCGGAGCGCGGCGTATCTGTAAACCGAGAGGCTCACGTGCCGTTTGAACATTGTTCACCCCGCTGCATATCAAGACTTCTACGAAGCGCGGGATGATTCATGTTTTGCGATGGCCTAAATAAACGTTTTAGCAGCCTATTATCATGATTATGCGTGTGCGCGCATGCCGACCAGATCTGGCGCGGAAGTTTCGTGTTTTGTGGTGTACACTGGGCGTAGCATGGCCTGCAAAGCTCGGCCTGGGACTTATCGAAATTGATTTCAAGAAATAGTGTATGTTGTGCCTTTATGGCGCATTGTTTGTGTACGCGCTACCTGTAAAAACGTGAAGGTTAGTTGGATTTGACGGACGTGTTTGCTACTACCTTATAGGCTCGCCAAGGACAAGGAATGCCGTATTTTTTTGTTGAAAAATAAATGTCTTGGAGCTCCATCTCAAGAATCAGAGGGCAAGGAGAAATAATGCTCGCCTGCGCATCTGAAGGTCTAGACAGGTGCCATAAAGCTGACTTCCTCAGTGCGGAATGTCCCCGGATCTGACCATACGTGAGAGCGGTCGTGTTTATCACGAATCAGGCGTGGCCGAGGCGGTGATTGGTCAACACCGTTCCTTAGGCTGCGACGCGAGCGAGTAGTCAGTGTTTAGCAGCCAATCACGACTGCCTTTTCGGAGGACCTTTTGTAACAACCCACGCGCCTGGGAAAAGCCAATCACATCTCAACGTCAATAACTTGCTGAAAAGCAAGACGTGGGGTGCAACTAAACGTACGATTTCGGTGTGCATGAGTACCATATAAATAAATGCGAGCGCAGAGGGCTGCATGTGCTTAAATTTATTAATTATCCCAGGTTACGAGAGAACGAGCCTCAGAGCTGACTTCCTACAAACGGTTTGGCGTTTCGCGGGGCATGCCAGATGCGTCACTCCTGACCATCACAGATCCTTCACAAATCAAAGTCCAGCTCCGCGCGCTTCCCTGTAGCATGACGCACCTGGACTTCCTGCGCCTCTTGAAGCTGACGGTCTTCGGCCTTAACATCGTCTTCACCACACTGGGCGCGCTCGTCGTCAGCGCCGCCGGCTTCGGCGTGTTCCTGCTTCAGGACGGCGGCGTGAAGCTCCTTTCAAGCCCGGATGCCGACGACCCGGGAGCAGTGATCGTCGCTGCAGCGGCTACCCTCGCCCTGCTGGCGCTGGCCGTCGGTCTCCTGCTGCTCGTCGCCGGCCTGCTGGGCTGCTGCGGCGTGGCGCGCAGCAGCCGATCGCTGCTGCTCGGCCACGCCGGCGTGCTGGCCGCGCTACTCCTGCTGGAGCTGGGCGCGCTCTGCGTGCTGGCGTGGTCGGTGCGCACCGCGCCGCGCCGCGCCGAGCTGGCCGCGCTCGAGCTGATCCGACGCGATGGTGTGGGCCGCCGCGTCGGCGCCGGCTGGGTGTCGCTGCACGCGGCGCAGCGCCGCCTCCGCTGCTGTGGCGTGCTCGGCTACACCGACTACGTGTCAATCAACGCGTCCGTGCCCGTGTCGTGCTGTCGGGATGACGCGCCGTCTCCCCAAACCCCGGCGCGCTGCCGCTTCGACGGGCTCAGCGAGCGCCAGCTGCGGCTACACCCGCGCCTGCAGCGGCGCGGCTGCGGCGCGCTCATGCGCCGCGGTCTGCGCGCGTGCGCCGTATTTGGGTACGTGATGGCGGGCCTGCTGCTGGCCACCCAGATCGCCGGCTTCAGCTGCAGCTGCTACGTGGCGCTGACGCTGCGCGATGTACCTTGCTTGCACTCGTTCCGCTCGCGCTTCTACGAGTGAAGCCGCGGATTGGTGGACAGAGCGCCAGTGCTGGCGGACGGAAAGCCGCGCACCGACGGACGGTGCGCCAAGACTGGCCGACGGTGCGCCAAGACTGGCGGACGGAGCGCCAAGACTGGCCGGCGGTGCGCCAAGGCCGGCGGACGGGGCGCCGGGACTTCAGTGTGCTGTGAGATGGCAGCGGTTGAGGACGGCGTAAAGGTGATGGCATCCACGGTGTTGAGAGCGCGAACGCACTGGGCGCATGATGGCGTCCCGGCGATCGGGCACAGCAATTAAGCCATTTGCTAGGCTCCTCCTACCCAATGAACCGACATTTGGGTGATTAAATTCTTGAAACTTTGAATAAGTGCTTACGATGAACGCAGAAGCCGCGGTGGGAACATAAGCGATGGCGGGTTGCGAACGTCCGCTGCCACACTGTTGCCTGTTGCCACTGCGTCAAGCGCATGAGTGATACACTTCAACCCGTAACTGATCCACTCCAACCCAAAGTGGAATGCGCAACTGCATGACGCACTGCTCGTTGGCTCCCGGACCGAGATCGTGTACCGGCAGCGAGTCGCCAGCCACAGATTATTCACTGTCGGCGTGAGGGATTGCGTGCCGTGGTCCTGGCAACTTGCCAAGAGGATGATCCACCTGAACTGGTATACGTACCAGATGTAGGTACCTAATACGAACAAAAAAGTTGCCCACGAGTTACAGGTAGCTGGTACAGGCGCCAGGTGCCTAACGAATTAGTACATGTGTCCGAATAGGTTTGATTTACTCGTACATTCGGCAGTTGCAGACTGGAGAGTCGCCGAGATTTCATATTCGCAACGGTGGCGCAAACCATGCTGATAGCGGCGATCTTGAATACGATTGCACGGAGGCTGTAAATAGACGTAGGAACTGTGAATATGGCGGCAAATAGACGTCCGCAAACCACAGGATCGCATATTTCCTCGCCACTTAAATCTGATGGCAGATTTAATACGAGTGCGGTATTTGTCAAAATTATCCAGACCGGTTCCATACCACACAAGACGACTGTTAAAACCCGAGCACTAAATCAAGCAGCGAGTCTGACCCACAAACGCATCACCCCAGCGCCAGCAGTTTATATTGCATTCGAACAGATCTGGGCCGTCCGCCTAGCAACAGAGCCCGCGCCGGCTGTCAACAGCGAGGATGTCCAACCAAGGTCAAGGTCAACGTCACGGCCCCCGGCTGGGTGCACGGGACCAGCGCAAACACGCTCGCTCGCCACAACATAACGTACCGCCCAACACAAGCACACCGCACTGCGGGCCGTGTGGTCCGCAGGAGAACCACACACGGCCGCACACCGCACCGCTGGCGCACCACACACAGCCGTACACAGCACTGCACGACTGGCGCGGCCGCCCAGGCTGATGGGGTCTCACCAATGTCCAACAATACGCCATGCCCACTGCCATGCCCACCGGCGGACAGCAGGTGCCGGAGCTATCAGCCCCAGCACAAAGGCGTCCGCCGTTCACACGTCGCCCGCGGCGCGTCAGCGATAGGCACGCTGGAAATCCAACAAACGAAACAATTTACACACGAACAGACGCAGAATCTCGCGAGGCTGATTCTCTGATGCTTTCTCCACTGCCCTGACCCTGCTCAGCTGATTCTCGTGACGCTAACCGCGGCCATGCGCGCTACTCTGGCGTGTTAACAGAGGCGTTGCTAGGATACCAACAGAAGACCGCGAACTGCTCGCCGGTGTGATTTGATGCCGGAAGTTCCAATAATCATCCCGAGCGCAGCGTCCGGCAGCTGCTCCAAACAGTACAGGCAAAAGTGGCAAGTCACGCTCAGAGGAAAGTGCGTCACAGAAGGAAGCTGGCGCCGCTTGCGGCCATGCCCTTGACGAACAGCGCTCGTTTAATCCAGGTACTCTGAGCTGGTCGTAAGTGCTGACGGCGCCGACGCGACACCCGTTATTGTAAACATAACGATGTGGGGAAAAACATGGTTGCTAAGATACCGTCACCACGCAGCAAGTGAATAACTTTACAGTCCGGTGATGAGAACATTACTCAGCGGTGCTGAAATGAATGATCAGCTAGCGCATGGGCCGAAGTAGAGCTTTTGCCAAACACAAGCAAAGAAATCCTGCCCTTTCCATCATGACCGCAGCAAATCATGTGTCGCTCCACCCCAGCCAGAAGTCCAGAGAAGTGGTAATCACAGCGGCTAATGAGTGGCCACCCCACGCCAAACACCCCTCAGTCGCTCGCCACAGCTTCGGACTGCGCCAGAGTCGGCCGCCGGCCGCATCACAGGGTATGTCACAACCGGCCGCCGGCGCACCTCTCCGCTCACGCGTAGTACACAGTGCTCTAACACACGGCACCGCCGGCTGCCGCGGCCGACAGTGCGCGCTCTGAGGCTCTTCGGACGGCACGCGAGAGCCTGCACTACTGTCCACGGCTTACATGTCCTCTGCACCTCGGGTGCAGCGCTGCCCGTCCTGGTGGCAAGAGGACAGCCGGCTGTCCTCCGCCGCCGGTGGTAAGGGGACGCCCGGCCCCCGCCGCCGCCGGTGGCAAGAGGACGCCCGGCCCCCGCCGCCGCCATCCCGCGCTTCGCTGCTCGGCGGGCAGCACGTTACCATGACGACAGTAAGGTAGGTGCTGCCCGTCGCGCAGCAAAGGAACAAAGTAGCTGTCTCACCCAATAGCATACCCATCTACGTCACCAATACGGCACAAGCTCCCCTCCCCCTCCCCATATTGGGGAACGTTGCGGGCTGTGGAGGGCACCACTGGGATGGAGCCAAACAACAATACCAGACCTCTGGCACAGACCGTGTGCGGACCTCAAATGCGCCACTCTCCTGGAAGACCCTGGGGCTCGAGCAGACCCTGTGCCGCCGCTCGCAGCGGCCTCACCGCACCTGGTCCAGCGCTCCAGCACGTGACGGCGCTGCTCCCGCCGTCCGCACCCCGGCCGCACTGGCACGAGCCCTGCGTCACCGGGACCCGCACAGCAGCCCCAGCGTCTCATCTGGCCCCGCGCAGCAGGCTGGTCCCTCTCACCACAGGCCTCTCACAGTCCCGAGCCCGGTCACCTTCGCGGCGCGGCACGGTAGCACCTGCACGTGAGACGTCCTCCGCCTCCGCCGCCGCAGCTCTTCTCCGACGAGCCGTGGGCGGGCGCGGACGGGCCGCCGCCTGGCGCCGCGCCGCGCCGCGCCGCGAGCGTTCACCTAGGAGCGCCTACGGCCGGCGGCCATCACGAGCCGTCGGCCACCAGGCCCTCGAGCCGGCCCCACCGGCGCCTGTCCAGCTCCTGCAGGAACTCGCGCACACGCTGCCCGCCGGCCGCCGCGTCAACGCACCCCGAGTCGGTCGAGTCGCTGGCAGAGTCGGGGCCCGAGTCGCCCGACTCCGGGATGGAGTCAGAGTCGGACAGCGACAGTGAGCCGGTTGTGTGTTGGAGTCGCGAGGAGGCGCGGTCGGCCCGGGCCGCCTGGAGCGAGGGGAGGGGATCAGTCATCAGCGCGAGTAGCAGCGGCTACCAAGGGGAAGGGGATCAGTCACCAGCGCGAGAAGCAGCGGTCACCAAGGGGAAGGGGATCAGTCATCAGCGCGAGTAGCAGCGGTCACCAAGGGGGAGGGGATCAGTCATCAGCGCGAGAAGCAACGGTCACCGAGGGGGAGGGGGATCAGTCATCAGCGCGAGTACCAGCGGTTACCAAGGGGGAGGGGATCAGCCATCAGCGCGAGAAGCAGCGGTCACCAAGGGGGAGGGGATCAGTCAATCAGCGCGAGTAGCAGCGGTCACCGCCAGACGGGTGATAACGTCGATGGTTGGTCGGGCCGCCAGACGCGGTTTGCACCCGCGTACTTTACCGGTCCGTGACGTCACAGATTACGGATTACGAACCCCGATACGTCACTAAGCGCAGCTGGCAACGGCGCGATCAGCACAAGAGGAATGTAGTTAGACTGGTTCAAAATCGTGTGTCAATCGTCTCATCTTCGCTAACGGTAGGGCCCGAGTCGAGGGTGCATTGGCGTTGCGAAAATGACACCGCAAGTCGCAACAAAGTGCATCAGAAATGTCAAGGCGGCCAGCTCACCCGGATCTCGTCGTAGCTGCGCTGGTAGCTGAAGACGGCGGCGAATAGATGCCAGATGCTGAAGTCTGGCCACAGCACCTCCGTGAAGAAGATGCACGTGTGCGTTGTCTGTCCACAAACGCGTCAACATTAGCATGGGCGAGCCTGGAACGCAAACAAATAACACGTGGCTCATTGTCTTTTTTCAAGTGCGGAATGTGATGACCAGGACTCTGCAGACTCGCCGTTTTTTTACCAACGTCCAGATCAGTTTAAATCTGGCTGTAATCAGCTGTGTCGCCCACACGGCGCTTCTGGCGTGGTCGCACCACCGGCAACGACAGAAGACGCCAAGAAGACGACAAGACGCCACCCCATTTGCCGGCGGACCTCCCACTGGACATGTCCAGTTCGCACTTTCCCCCGCGCCGTGGGTCCAACGGCGTGGTGCAGAGCCGCGTGCTGGCATACCGAGACCGGGTCAGCTGCTGGAGCGAAGGGCCCGTACAGCGCCTCCTGCGCCGCCCGTCCACAGCGTGTCTCTCCCAGTCACGGTGTCGCCTGTCCGTCCGCGCCCTGCTATAGACGGTCACTTACCAGCACAGGCGCTTTGGCTTTATAGTGGCTGCTTTAGTGACTTTAGAGACATTGGCTGCCCCCTCGACACCACCCCACCCGGGCTGCGCCGTAGCCCATACTGGCTGCTATCTCGCCCCAGCTCATATTGGCTGCTCTCCCGCCACAGCTCATACTGGCTGCTCTCTCGCCCCAGCTCATATTGGCTGCTCTCCCCGCCCCAGCTCATACTGGCTGCTCTCCCGCCCCAGCTCATACTGGCTGCTCTCCCGCCCCACCTCATACTGGCTGCTCTCCTCGCCCCAGCTCATACTGGCGGCTCTCCCGCCCCAGCTCATACTGCTTGCTCTCCTCGCCTCCAGCTCATACTGGGCTGCTCTCTCGCCTCAGCTCACATGGCTGCTCTCTCGCCCCAGCTCATACTGGCTGCTCTCCCGCCCAGCTCATACAGGCCGCTCTCTCGCCCCACCCCACCCGGACCGCGCCCGGGTCATTGGGCAGTGACAGGGGTCACGAGGCGCGCCCAGTGCTCCGGTGGAGGAGCTGTGCCCGGTGCCACGGGTCCCGGAGCATACGGTCGAGGCGTGCCGCCGCAGGCACGTAAGGCGTGGCAGCGTGCCTGCATCCACTAAAACTCACAGAAGCAGCAGTCTTTCGTCAAAAGTAGTCTTTCCTGCGTGTTGATCAAACCCAGCAGCATTGGTCGCTGACGGGGTCTGGCTACATTGGCTTAGTTTATGATATCGTTCACACCATAACATATGACAAATCTTACCCCGGTCATCGCGTCGTTCATCACACGCCGCAGAAGACGACAGAAGGTCCGTTCGCACCCCAGCGAACTGGCAGCAGAATCGCTGCAGATCCTGCAGCCAGTCAGCTGCTGCCGACTAGAGGTGCCACGTCTCAGCCCGCAGGGCCGCAAAGCGCGGGTAAAGAGCTCAAAACGGTACCTCTCTAGTCCGTAACACCTACGAACCCAAAATCTTCTGCGGATTTTGCAAGCCTGCTTTTGAGCTTTGTTCCCTCGCGTTTTGTGGGACTGCGGACTCAAATGTGGCACCTCTAATCTGCGACCGCAGAGTAGCTGCACAATCTGTAGCGACTCTGCTGCCAGTACGCGAGATGGGAGCGACCTTTACCGACCACACGAAGCCGTTGCCCACCCGCTCTGAGCAGTGCTGCCGCAGTCACGTCCCGTCCAGTGACGTCACAACGGTCAACGGGACTGACCTGCCAGAGGAGGAAGTCGGAGAGGCGGACCTCGCCCGAAGTGCGCACCAGCACGTCGGGGCGAGGCGAGTCGCGCGTGTAGAGGCACCGCTCGATCAGCCGCTCACTGACGTCACTGGGCAGCAGAAGACCGGTCGCCACGCCGTCGGCCACGTCCCGCACCGCCCTCGAGATCTCTTCGCGCGCTGTCGGGCGGACGCCGACCGGCGGCGGTCAGCTCTCCCCACCGGCTGGGGCGGGGCGGGGGAAGACTGGGGTCGTATCAGCCATGAACCAGGCGGTGTTGGGAGGAGGGAGCGGGAAGGACTAGGGTCCTATCAGCCGTGAACGAGGCGGGGTTAGGGGAGGGGGCGGGGGCTGGGAAGGACTGGGGTCCTATCAGCTGGGAACCAGTGGGTGTTGGGGAGGGGGCGGGGAGGACTGGGTGCCTATCGGCTGGGGACCAGGCAGTGTTTGAGGGGGGGGGGGGGGGGGCGGGAGAGGAGAAGCGTTACAGACTGCGGAGGGCGGCATGGGGGTTGCAGAAATCCTCTCACAGGGTGCAAAGGATACCACATGGACACATACGTATCTCCCCCAAGCTACAGGTGCAGTCAGAGGTTAAACACGGGTTTCTTTGTGGGCTGCGAGCCATAATAATGGTCCATATGAGACGAACGAAGTGCGCAACAGCAAACGCTGATTAATATCGTACAAATAATTGCTATAGATATTAAAGAATATTGATTCATATTGTAAACACATCACAGGCTGTGTAGGGGTACAAATGGGGCCAACACTCAATAAGATAGTAAACGACAGAACGGGCAAATCAAGCCGCGGCGAACCCCTAACGGCAGAGGGGGCTGCTTTCGTCACGGCAACAGCTCATCGCATGATGAACGAAGCGTTCGACAGAAAATCCAAATTCCAGTCTGATTCTCAATTCCAGGATTCCAGTCCGGCCTCCAAATTCGACACGCAACACAATGCCTTTCTTGCCGAATGTTCTGTCGCCTTCTGCACACGGCTTAGCCCGTCCCGGCCCAGAATACCCGCCCACAGTCGCAGCACATAATCCGTTCAGTTCACTAAGGGCGGGCAGGCGTCAAAGCGGGCTCATTCCCATGCCGGGCATGTCGGCTCAAGCTCCTGCTTGTAGGCGGCCCGACGACCGTTGTTGCCTCTGAATCCCCTGCCCGGCTGCCCGATTGTGGGCGGCCCGTCTCAGGTTAGTGCTATCCGCTACGGTCTTGATGTACTGACAGACGCCGACGGGAAGAGAGCCTAACACATGCTGACAGACGCCGACGAGTCCAGGGATAAGAACTCAACGCATGCTGATAGACACCGACGAGGTCCGGGAAGATAACCCAACAAATGCTGGCAGAAGCCGACGAGGCCAGGGGAGACCACCCAACACCCGCTGACAGACGCTGACGAGGCCCAGGAAAAGAGCCAAACACATTCTGACAGACGCCGACGAGAATGGAACCCGACATATGCTGACAGACGCGGACGAGGCCCGGAAAGAAAACCAACACATTCTGACGGATGCCGAGGTCCGGGGAGATAATACAACAAATGCTGACAGACGCCGACGGGACCCGAGAAGAGGAAGAGGAAGAAGAGGAGAAGAGGAACGAGAAGAAAGAAGGAGGAAAAGGAAGAGGAAAGCGGAAAGAAGAGGAAAAAGAAGGAGGAAAAAAGGAAGAAAAAGAGGAACACACAGTAACTAGTTGAACATCACACAAAGACAACCTTGTTTGATGTTTCCTAGTTGTGACGCCGTCATGGAGGGTACAGCGAATACATTGACCGTGCAACCTCAATCTTATTTCCTCACATGAGGCTGACTTAAGACATTGGAGAGAAACATGCTATATTTGACTCTCCCCACAACCCAAGCATAATATTGACGCCACTAATTCACCCATCTCTTGGACTGTTTTACGTGAAGCGGCATTTGGTCCCCTACCCATGGTAGACTACGAAACTAACACCGTTCTACTTTGAGTTGACACAAATTGGTTTGTTACAAGTTCTCATGAAAAATTCGAGTCACATTTTTTTCCTTGGCGGAAGGGGGAGCGCAGCATCGTCATTGTGGATAATATGCCCAGTTCAGCTACAAAATGAATAAGTATGGACGATTAAAATTTTGCTCTGACTCTGACTGTACTAAATCTTTTTTTTCATCTGACTCTGTGCTAAACATAATCCATTGCGGGCACTCCGAACCGACCATACTTTTATTGTAATGCACCTTCAACGGACCCAGCTTGCCTCGGTCCCGTATCTAAATAGCACGACAGGACCTTTACCGTGTAATGCGACTACGCGACTGTCAGCTGACATGTGACCAGGCTGACGCTACCAAGCCAAAGACTAAATGGTCCTCTTTGACGAGCCATGTACGAACGTTTACCCTGGAAGGCGAGCCTACCATCACACGTTTCGCCGCAGTTGTGCGTCTGCGGAGCAATATTTTTATTTTTGCGAGAATTTTACGCGTTGCAGATCAATGGTTCGGGGAAAGGCGATGACTGGCAATTGTCCTTTTATTAACTATTTTTATCAAGAGATATCACCTATCACATAGCAAGCAATCAAGCAGTAAGACTCGCACGAATGCACGCCACCATTTATGGGAACAATGGTATTGTTTTTGGCCTTTCCACGCTTTTCGGGGACATACAAGAGGAAAGTTTTGGCTTCATCTGAAGTCCTGTAGCCAAAGTGTTTTAATTTTACCATTATGGGGAATTCCACGATTCCGGATTTTTTTTTAACCATCACACTGCAATGAAAAGTGTTTCGCCGAGTGCGGCACCCAATGACATCATCTAATAATACGCAACCTTACGCATTAAAGTCTAACATATTTTGTAGGCCCGTAATCGAACACTTTGCTGAGCTGATGGAAAACTAGCCCTCATGAAATTAAGCTGGCCTAAATAATATGACGTGCGTCCATTCAACGGAAACTTACGCACATCTCAGGCCTGCGACAACAGCTAAATAATAACGATGAATGGGACGGTCCTGTCCCGCAAGGAGGCACTGTGCCCTGTATCTGAGGACAGATGTCTGTGTCCTTAAACTCCGTAGCTGGACCTGTCAATGCAGTCAGATACTTACCGCTTCAAAGACACAAAACATATGTCCTATTTGTCGCACAGCACCTACCAACACTAGAACATGCCTCGCCTCGCAATAAAAGTAGTGTTTGCTCTCACCGCCAGATAAAAATCGAATTGCTGAGCCGATAAACAGCGCAATAAACTTTACACACCTGGGCGATAAACGCGCAAACGTTTGAGAGGTTGTCCTGAAAAGATCTGGAGCACGAGTATGACCGAAATCATTCATAACTAACCCCGTGCCTGTTTCTCACAACCCAAAAAACATGATGTCAACTCTAGCCGCCATATGAAAGTGCCTTCGGCGCCCTTGGGCAGCGGCTCGAGGGGTGACTTTACTTCCCGATCGGAAAGGGGCGTGTACCCCCAGGTGCCCCCCCCCCCCCCTCCTCCCCTCCCCTCTAGATCCGCCCTTGCATGAGTACTATGCTGCTTAAATTTACCACTTTTTGAAATGATATAAAATTAAAAATACACATTGTCATTAGTCAAAATAAAGAGGGCTTCATCTGAGGGGTTGGTCCTCGGGCCGGGCAGGGCCTCCGGTTCACCCTCCCCCTCCCCCCACCCCAATCACACCGAAAAATTGGCACCCTTGTTCATCCTCAGCTGTGCCTTAGTGTGCGTTACTACAGCGTTATGTTTCTCCTGAGTTACAAACAGGCTGCCGTCTGCAATCCACCGGCAAGATATAACTCAGCGCGAGGTGACCCATCAGTATCGGCTGATGAGCAGCCATGGCATGTCAACTCTCAACTCTCTCAAGAGAGTGCCGGGAGTGCCTGCACGACAAAAGCCGCCACTGGCCCTCGGCCGACAGGCTGCTTTTGACGGCAGACGGTGAATGGGAATGTCAAAGATACGGCCGAAGTACAGAGTCCACGGTGACTGCGGCGCGAAGATCAGCGAAATCCCTCGGTCCAAGGACACCGGGCGGCTATATGAGGGCTGCTCGGTTCAAGAGACCCGACCCGTTGGGATTCGTCGAAGGCATCAGTCCTACCCAAAAGAGTACACACAGCAGCACAGTGAAAGTCATCGTCTTAGGGGTCCGATGCTGTGAATTGGAGGTTCACTAGTGCCGGTGATTCGGTTTACCGCCATCATCGGCGAAACATTGAAACATGAACCAGCATCATACCTCGAAGCAGCGGCACCTGGTGGTAATGACAATGTCATTGTCATGTCATCGCGACAACGTCATTACCGCAGCCGGCTGGTACCTGCCAAAGCCACATCAAGGCTTCGCAAAAGACCGAATGGACAGGGCTGAGTTACCCAGCCAGCCCCATAGCACACCTATGGCACCACCTACCTGTGTAGGAGAAGGCGATATTGATGCGGGCCGCCGTGTTATGCCTGGTCATGAGCATGACCTCGGCGGTCAGCCTCTGGATGTCCTCCGGCAGCAGGCTCAGGTCACCGATAAACCGGATACACACACCATGCTCGCTCAGTTTGTCTCTGTGGGAAAGGGGTATTTCAGGTCAGGTCAGGTCAGGTCAGGTCGGGACTGGTCATATCATGTCATGTTATGTTATGTCACCGATAAACCGGATACACACGCCATGCTCGCTCAGTTCGTCTCTGTGGGAAAGAGGTATTTCAGGTCAGGCCAGACGGGTCATGTCATGTCAAGTCACTCGACACGCTGAACACACACGCCATGCTCTGCCACGGTCTCAGTGTACAGAAGATATATCAGGTCGCGTTACAAAAGGTCCAGATACCCATAACCTGGAAGCTGACAGCATCTGTTATCAGAGGCCTCCCACACATCAATGGTACCATACTCAGCAGCCTCTTGCTTCCACCAGCAGCGCGTCCGGCGAAGCAACACTTCCGTGCCTGGAACGGTTTCGTCAGTCCTAAACACCACTTCTTGCGGCATTTGTGTATCCACAGCGCGTGTTTGTACCCCTCAGCATGAACATCCGCGTGCACATATCGTACAGTCAGTGGGAGAAAGCCACAAATCAGGCCTTCCACCAGGGATCATTCTGATGGTCTGGATATCCACTGGCGAACCGTTGAGTACTGAGTCACACAATCACGAACTACTCGTCACATCCTGTGAAAGTTTGGTGCAGCTTCGACACAGTTCCGGAAGTTTCACACGCGATGTTGACCGCGCTCTGGCACGGTCCCCAGACCAGGAGCGGGCGCCCCTGTTACGGCAGCACCTGTCTACGCGTGCCCTTTCCTCCTCTCCCCCCCCCCCCCCCGGGTACGGACAGCCTGCTGCCCCCCCCCCCCCTCGCTGGTGGCATCACGCGATGTCGGATTCAAGTTTGGCAGCAAACAGATGCCGCGTGATAGAACATTATTCATGAATTATGACACCACATTAACATATGACGACGAAACATGTGGCAAAAATTATGGTTTTAACCCGCAATGAGCACATAATTACCGAGCACAGAAAGTATCTTGCATAACTGTGACGTAAAACCATCTTATCAAAAATCCGTACTTTCTTGATTGAAGCATTAAGTTAGCAGCAGAGTCGGAAAAATCCAACCATACTACCAAAACATAACGATTCTACTCCACCACGATTCAGCCGCCGTCTACGAAGACTACAACACAGAACACCCACGGGAGAGCCGTCCGCACACCGGGCCAGTTCCTACGCCCTGCCGGCAGGGTCGGCAGCAGGGCTGCCGCCGCAGCGGCCGGCGGTGCAGGGCTTCAGCTTACCGTTCCTGGAGCAGCACGCGGAACTTGTCCCGCGCCAGCCCCATGATGCCGTCGATCTCCTCCTGCGGCCGGCGGAAGTTCTCGATCGAGAACGCGTACACAGTGACCTCCGTGACCCCGAGGTCACGGCACCACTTGAGCGTCTCCGACAACTTTGTGAACCTGCGGCACGAGGGCCGGGTCAGGGGAGACATGACTGAGGGTGGTGACGACAGACGAGATGAAAGGGACCGATGGGGCATGGGCCTCAGATTGGGGCGTCTGGGTCCACTGTACACATAAACCTATCACGGAGGCGCACAATTCGCCTTGCTCTTTTTCCGTCAGCTTGTTTCTTGACACCCTTATCAAGCAGAACCGTAAATCCTAAATTTTTTATACACAAATGTGGATCTCCTCTGAATCGTGCTTGCTTACTGCCGGACTTTCTAGACTTTGCAGGTTCTCCGCGTACATAATTGTTCCAGTGACGGAGGGTGAGGCCAGACCTATAATGTGGGATACTGGAGCAAGAGTCCATATACAGGCAGAACAGGCCAATAAGCCCACTGCCCTGGCACCAGTTCACATGGTATAGTTCCAGTGAAAAAGACTGAAGTGCCACCATTGTAGTTCCTCCTGTTCACTCACCCCCGTGAATGCCCCTCCGTCTTCTCCAGGTTGTTCCGCTTAGCGAAGCGCCGGTTGCCATCCATGATGAATGCCATGTGTTTGGGGACATGACCAGCCTTCAGTACATTCAGGCAGAGATTCTCATACCAGGTCAGCTTCTTCTCGCTGATCCAAGTCATGCTGTGGCTCCTGAAGCAGCAGGCAAGATCAGATGTGGCTGCAGAGAAGCAGCAGTGTGGGGAACTGCACAGCATGTCCTGGCTTTTTGTTGCAAGCATGGATAGCAAATCAAAGGAGTGTTTTGCTTTATGTCCAACCAGTCATAAATATCATGCTAAGAATGACTGATCAGCAAAGACTGAATGAGACATTGATTTTCAACATTCCTCTAAGCTCTTCTGTCTTGTGGTGTTTTATGAGGCAAAGATTATTTCCTGAAACATTCCCAGCAAATTCAAAGGGCACCTGGTGTCAATGATAAGAAAATAAATTAAAAGTATGACAAAAGAACAATCCAAGTTGTCAATCTAAGGTAGGAAAAACATCCTCTACAAAAATACCATCCCACAACATAACAGTTTCTGTAGTATCAGTGATGCCTGCAAACAAGTTTGTATAAACACTATAGCATTTTGCACATGAGGAGAGTGGAGAATCCTCAATTCTACAGGCATCCTGAAAACAAATTGTCCAGGCTATCTAGAGTTTTAAAATATAATAACTTGTCATCCCATAAGACTAAGCATGCATAGCTTTCAAAACCATGATTTATGGATCAAGTAGACAAAGATTGGAAGGTTTTGTTGACTATAAATTGGTAAATTTGGTCACCAAAGAGTTGAAACTTGATGGAAGAGGATGAACAATACTGGTAAAAATGCATGAAACAGTTATGGTAGGACCCTTATCAAGTAGTATTGCAAACTGCAGCAAATGCATTATGAACAGGGATTTTGTTTACAACATTCAGTCAAAATTTTCATGACTGGACTGACATCTGATTTCCACACACATGCTAAGTAGTACTTGCAGCATGGACCAAAGCTCCATCCCACAATCATGAAATTCTAGGTTGAAAGAATAATTTGGTGATTAAAAGTTTCACCTAGCACAATGTTCAGCATTGTTGGTAATATCCCCTGACATCACCAGACCAATTGTACAGCTGTCACTGCCGGCTGCGGGCTTACATTGTCAGGGATTAATAGCAAGCACCCAAAGCCATTTGAACCACTCCCCCACAGGTGATTTATCAGGAGAAAAACACTGAAACCAACTGCAGTACCCAGACAGACAAGCCAACTCATCCCTCATGCATCATTTTCAATAACACGCATGGCCAGCTTATCCACCTCAGCATGTTTAACTTAATAATATTACGTGCATGATATCGCCCTTCCCTGCGGCTCATACCTTATGGGATGTCCCAGATAGGATTCCCTTCGCCGATTGCGTACGGTTCACGCAGACGACAGAAATGGCTTCCGGAAAGTGTCTTCACGCAAAGCTTTCAGCTCAACAGTTAATACGGACCGAGCACCTCCGCTACATATCTCAATGGCCCGGCTTTCCACGCTCCCCACGGCATTCCATGCGAACAGACTGCCGGCTAACTAGCGCATAGCACAGCGGGTAGAGAACTCTCTGTTGATTGCTGCCTGTATGTCTGCTGACCGTATGACTACTGCCATATTTCTAGCGGACTTTCCGCTATTCTAGAGAAACTTTAAGAAAAGTATTTAATATAGAGACTATCTGAAGGCAGTTTGGTTACTCTAGCCCAGAAGTACGTTAATTCTTAGCTGTGGGCCTCCATACGGAGCAAAGTCTGAATGGAAGCAGACACGTCAAATAGTCGAGTTATTCAATTCTACCGCAGTTGATGCAAATGATGAAGTGCCAGCCTAACCGGCATTCAGAAAGGTATTATTGCTCTACTAGCTGACTGCACCTTACAGTGATCCAGAATTAAATGCCGCTTGGAATTTCGATTCCCGGTGTTCTCCATTGCCGTTAATGTGATCGGAAACCACAATTTTAGGGATATAACCAGTGTGGGATGTCGTACATGGTGGCAGGGTGTCAGCCATGTGCGAATATGGCCTAGATCTGAACTGCTTAACTGTGGTGGACGGTGCTACTGCACGTGGAAGAACATGCAATCATTTACGACCTGGGCGCTGAATGAGTTCCAAGGCCATGTAATACGGTATGATCATCCGGGGATTTTTCCGGCACCTTTCTTTCACCATTACAGTGACGTCACAAAGTCGCAACCTGGCATCACAGCGCCGGCTGCATTACCTTCGCGTCTGCTACACCGGTGCACCTTCTAACAAATGCATCTGGTGATCGCCACAGGGCACTTCAAAAAGTACTACGAGGAAATATGAAGGGGGGTTTTTGTCACGCCTGTTGTAAAACAGCGAACATACCTAGGGACCAGGAACCCATCTGCCATGGCATTCCCATTTGCTGAGGATGCCAAACATTGAGTCTGTGGCGATGCATTAAAGTTGGCGAGCCTACAGCTGCTTAAATGCAGGTTAGCGAACTTGGCTAAGGTCCAGCCACTGCCAAAGGAAGAAATGAGCGGCACCAGGATCATCAGTCCGACCTGTCGCGTTGAGCCTCAGCACTATACATAATAACGCGCTGGGTTGCACTGGTGTGCGATTGATGCAGTTTGAGACGACGGAAGTGGTACGCTGCCTGGTAGGAACATAGTACATTGTGGACATCGCACATCGCGTCAACTATGCCACGAAGCCTCCGAAGGTCGTGGTGCGTGGCGTTAATCAAGATCAGTATTCGTCACGCCATGCAGCCAAGTTATCGAACACACGTATGACTCATAATTCGCCATATTTTACTAAAACGATTCTTGCGCCAGCATACACTTCATTGTGCACATTTGGCGAGGACCCAAAGTAAACAGGGCGGGGGGGGGGGGGCGGAGCTCACATAAGCACAACGATATTCGCTTCGCGCTGACACCTGAGGTCGCACCTGTTTAGCTGCGCGTCTGGCAGCAGCTCGCTCAGCCCCAGCCTGATTAAACCATCTGAGGTGCAGATGGATGCGCGTCTTCACCAGCTTCCGAGCAATCCGCTTGTCCAGCGCAGAACTTTCTCAGCAGGAGCTTTGTGGGGCGGTCCACGATGCCAATGTCTCGGTCCATGCCTCGGTCCATCACTTGTTGGAACACGATTCGAAAGCCTCGACAACGCTTGTCCAGGCCGACAACGGCACCATCAGGTCACCCTGTCTAACCGTGTGTATCCAGCTGTCTGGCACACAGCTGGGTGGTGCCTCTCGGGTCGACAGTCCCATACTTGGATCAAGGCGTTTGCAGTTGACCGCCACGAAGTCCGCAACGAAGGCCAGCGGCCCGTGCCCGATGTGTGTGTCCTCGTCCATTTCGTCGCCGCAATGGGGGCCATTTTCGGTCCTCTCGCCGTCACCGCCATGGAGCTTGCCTTTGCCCGATTCGTCGAACCCGCCGTTCTCGTCCACTTTGTTCAGGATGGGCATTGGAGGCATCGCGGCTGCTTGCTGGTAAGCGGCCTCCACGTCGTCCGTATGCGTTGCCGCTTCCACCACAGCTGGATCTTGGATCTGCGACACAACGAAACGGTCGTTTCCGCGTACCTATCAGGCGCATTAATCAGACCCTTTTGCATATCACCAGTTTTTTTTTCATTACGAGAGCAAAACGTCTTGGGCCCGGACATGCCCATTCTTTCGTTATCGCATGCTTGTTTTTATACACAACCGCCTTTTTGTGGTCCAGCGTGACATAATCCGAGCGGGTAAGAGGGACAGTCAACGGCCGACGAGTACTGCACTGCGTGCCCCACTCTGATATCTCCCTCTCCTGGCCATAACCACGGATCTATCTGGATGGACCCGTTTCATGGTCCCATTTCATTGCATCGGCTGTCACAGGGGGGTGGCGCCGCCATTACTGTTTTTCGACGGCCCTCCGAGGGCCCTCCGAAACTCCAACGGCAGGGCCCTCCGAGGCTCCAATCCCCCCCCCCCCCTCCGCTTCCATTCGCTTCTGCCCGTGAGGTTTAAGGCCTATGGTTTAGGCACAGGAGCAGTTTTTTTTTAACCACGGTTTTATTGCATGTAATCCCCGGGGTTTGGTGACCAGGCAAATGGCCTTTATTTGAAATCTCATTGACACTATTATCTACATATACACTGTATTATACACTATAAATCTATTTGACACTACCATGGACAGTAACACGAAGAGCCCAAAAGTGGTTCAAAAGTAGCAAGACTCACAAAAAGCCAAGTAAACATGTACGGTGCGCAGGTGAAAGAACTGTTTAAGGCACCAGGGCAAACCAATATTAGAATCTCATTGATGCGCTAGGTACTGTACCTATTAACGATTGTGGGGTTTGTTGGTCAGTTCACAGTGCGTAGATGTACTGTCAATGGGGCTGGGACTCGCTCGTGCGAACTTATCCTCCCCCCACGTCGCAAACCCTGGCTACGTCCCTGACCCTCGCCCCCCTTCGCCCGTGTAGTATGGATGGCTGTGCCACTTGTGTGGCAGTCGGGCCCCACTTTGTAAACAAAAGTATGGCCGGAAAATCTCGCTTGAATCTCGTATTGCAGTCTTCAAACTGCACGGAGCGGTATGGATTATGCAGGCATTAGTGACTGTGAATTGGGTTTAAAGATTGCTGCATAAAACAGACGGGAATTTTCCTTTTAAGCGCACGCATACTCACTTCGGTGTGCCGGCGATGTCCAGCCGCATAGAAGGAACTGCACTTGGCCGAAGGCATGGTTTAACATTGGGTATAAGACTGGCCTTAACCGGATGGCTAGGACCATAGTCATAATCTTGAAAATGATCGGGCCAAATTAATGCATTCTCCGCATTTATGGTGTTAGTCCAAGAGCAACGGTTCACTCATGTTTCTAGGACAGCTGGATCGTTTTTTGCAAAAGAAAAATGTCTATTGTGCCGTTTCACATTCTTGCAAAAGGCTGCTCCACAAGATGGCGTCTTGCTGCCAAAAAAAACTGCCTTTGATGCTCATTTTTGCCCCACGCTCACACATTACTTCAAAATTTTCCCATCCGCGACATAATGGCACGCACTGAGGCAACACAACAGCACAAACTTGATGCCACACTGCGCGATAATCGCGATATTACATTTGATACATTACATTGGTATTACACGGCGTTGACGATAATAGATAAGACGAACCACAGCATTTCTGCGTGACGACTGCTTTCCACGCGATGCAGTCGACGTTGCCGTGCAACGCCTGAGCGCGAGCCATTACGACTTTGTGACGTCACCACCTGACGTTATCCAGGCGCCAGCCCGACCAATTTCTCAAGCCGCGATGATGACCCCCTGATGAGTTCCAAAGAAGGATGGCCATGGCTCGAAATTTTCTCAGCTTCCATTCCCTGACCATTCCATCCTTTCATTCCATCCATGACCATGCAAACCATTCGGGCTTATCGAAGCACACTGTGGACACATCTTTATTCACCTACCGCGAGCTTATCCACCGGCAGGAACATGTCCCCGTGAGACATCTGAAGCACTGCAACCATGTCTCCATTCGAGATGGGCAGTACAACGAGGGCAGTCGGTAAAGGCAGAGTCTCAGGACATGGCCGGTGCCTTACTTCCTGGACAAGATGCTTGTCGTCGATCTCGCTCCAGCCGCTCCTGATCCCACTGGTCAATCAAATCCCACGTGTCAAAAGACGTGTCAGGAGCCCCGAAGAAGACCCCAAGATCTGGTCCCAGCATCCCATAAACAGTGATTCAGGCAGGGGACAAGTGCCCTCTCCGCCTCCTTAGGTTCCGACCACTGCAAATCGCTGGCCCCGGCTTTGAAGCAGCTTAGGAAGTGGGGTCTCAGGTTCAAACCGACATGGAGCCGACTGTACGGTCCTGGTGGTGCATGACTGACATATGGGCCCCTGTCGACTCAAGGAGCCGCGGATCAGCGCCCAGGACCCTCTGACTGACATCGAAGTGCCCAGCCCTGTGGGCCGCCCTCCTGAATGTAACCTGCGGCCGACCCTTCGGGCCCCCGAAAGGCCCCTCGGGACCAACGATCTAGGGTCCTGTTGGACTCGGGCCTGCCCTTCACCCCCCCCCCCCCCCCGTAATGATGTGACCTGAAATATCAGTGAGAGGGCTTCTATTACGGCCCTCTTATTAGCGTTCTCCGTCCCTATTCTAAAGGGTCTGGACACAAAACCGAATGGTTGGCTCCGTGTCGTTTGGGGTTTTGGGACCCATTTCCCCAAGCAGAAACGAGGCCTGGGCCCACGACTTGCAATGTTCGGGTTCCTTAACACAATGAGGGGCTTATGAATCGGTTAGGGACCGCAGTATCTAACAGGGGTCCTGTGGCGGCAAGTGGTCTCGAGCCTGCGAAGACCTATTTTTAGGGGCCCGAAGAGGGACCCGGAGGGTCTCGAGACCAAGGATCAAGCTCCCAGTTGGAAAGCTGAGGGGCCCAACGGGCTGGCTGCATGTCACTTTTGAAACTCCCGCCTGCAGAACCGTGATCTCAAACATCAGCTAAATGGCCTCTTGCACCGATTG